ATAAAAACAACATTGAAAAGTTTGTTTTATTAAATTAATAATTTGAAATGGTATATCCTTGTATGTAACAATGTAACATGGATATTTTAATTTTGAAAAAGCCTTTTCAGTGTTTAAATGGGCCTTTACATTTTTTCAGCAAAAATGTATACTCACAAAAGTATTAAGATACTAAAGTCCATTCAGATATTCTAATAACCGTGGCCATCCCTAGTTTGTGTGGTACCAGGCTTTGTTCACTCTCACCTCCCTCTGATCACAGCCTGATTTGATTAACTCTTTTCACAAGGCTGTAATTTTTACCCTTCTCAAACTGCTGACAGCTTTATCAGCCCCAGGATAACACGCATTAAGCAAATATGTGCTGTGTTTGTGTCCCAGATTTTATGAGTTTAGAGGTTGGTGGATTTGAATCAAATATGCTCTAGGCCTGTCTTGTAATTCACGTGTCCCTCCCTAACCACCACCTCTGTGTGTGCTTCGTTACATTAGGTAGACATGTATTAGTAGTGGTACTCTGCTGTAATTCTGGCACAAACATGATGACATTGTAGTTTCAGGGCATTTAAAGATGGAATCCGCATTATGGAAAACAGAGCCAAAGTCCGCCCCAGCACCTTTATTGTTTTTGTTTTGTGGACGAAACGGAGGTGATAAATCTCTTCAGATTACCTAAACAAATTGACAACTAGAATGTCAAAGGTCTGCAAGGCTGTAATTGCTGCAAATGGAGGATTCTTTGACGAAAGCAAAGTTTGAAGGACACAATTATTATTTCAATTAAAAATCATTATTTCTAACCTTGTCAATGACTACATTTCCTATTCATTTTGCTATATTTCCTATTCAAACACATTCAAGGAAATGTCTAAGTGACCCCAAACTTTTGAATGGTAGTGTATGGCTACCCGGACTATTTGCACTGCCCCCCCCCCACCCCCCACCCCATCTTTTTACGCTGCTGCTACTCTGTTAATTATTTATGCATAGTCACTTTAACTCTACCCACATGTACATATTACTTCAACTACCTCAACTAGCCGGTGCCCCCGCACATTGACTCTGCACCGGTACCCCCCTGTATATATAGCCTCCCTACTGTTATTTTATTTTACTTCTGCTCTTTTTTTTCTCAACACTTTTTTGTTGTTGTTTTATTTTACTTTTTTAATTAAAAATAAATGCACTGTTGGTTAAGGGCTGTAAGTAAGCATTTCACTGTAATGTCTGCACCTGTTGTATTCGGCGCATGTGGCCAATAAAAATTGATTTGATTTGGTATGCTACAAATCAACATTCTACTAATCCATAGGATGCTGAGAATGTGTCATCTAATGCTCAATCACGCATGTGCCCTGCTATTCGTACATTTCTGTAGTGCCTCCCCTATTCTGATATCGGGTTTTTTTAATGTTTTTTTTTTTGTGAAGCAATTCAAAATAAACAATATAGAATTAACAGAGTATACAAACATTACAAACAACAGCCCGGAATACAGACAATGCAGTATATAAAGACCTTGTAAAAAGTACAAACATTCAAAGTTATTATTTGCTTTTTTGAGAAGATGAAATTGATTATATATTGTTCAATTTCATTTGATTATCAGCTGTTGTCGAACACACGTGGGTGTCAAGACTATTCTCTTCCTCAATAGTGTGCAGCGAATTCTACCAAAGATTGTATTTTATATTGACAAGATAGTCAAGTGACCGCTCTAACAATGGAAATACATGTCCTCAAAGATAGAAGGCAGGCGGGAGGAGGCGAGATCAGGTGGGACCATTCTAGCCAATGAGAGGGCAAATCTAACTGCAATAGATGTTGTTGTAGGAAGAACGCATCGTAGTAGGATTGTATTGTATTGACAGGCACGACTCCGGCCCGTACTCTACACAGACCGGTGCACCATTTTGTCTTAATTGGGCAGTGTTGTATTTTGAGACAGGCTTGAATAGGCTAAGTAGCCAATAGGCAGAGGGTATCATAATTTGTCAGATTTTCTGTAATAATGGTATAATGATGCATTTTATTTTGTAAAGTGGTTTCTTGCATCAAACAACACAACATTTTCAGTCACCTCCTTGAAGGACAAGTGGATAAACATGTCAAGCCCTGCATGTTTTTTTTCAAAAGTCTCATGGAATGTAGGCCTACATTGAACACCACACATTGGCTGCTACTGTAGGCTGAATGATAGAACAGGTATTTCCACGTTAAAATGTTATGGGATGCAATTTCTCCTTTGTTTTTTTATGGTAGGACACTCTGGTAGGCCTACATTATGATCAAATAGCCACAGTAGCCTACTTCACCACTGTTAAAACTGTAACTTAAAGCGGGTACAGCCTCAGTATTCACAGTAAACGGGCGCCGGAAGTTGCACAGAATTTTCACAAGTTTGCGCTCAGAAGACCTGAAATTTGCTCAGTGCCGATAAAAAACATTGGTTGTGAGTTCAATCGCTGTACGAGTCATACCAAAGACTGTAAAAATGGGACCTGATGCATCTCTGCTTGGCACTCAGCATTAAGGAGATAGATCGGGGTTAAGGCCCTGTGATAGACTAGTGTCCTGTCCAAGGGGTGTACTCATGCTACAGAAACAGGAGATAGGCTCCTGCCCTATGAGCCATTCCGGCTCGCACAAGCCAAGGCTCGTGCAAGGCTAAATACTATGGGTATTCGGACACGGACAGTGTTTGTTGTTTGCAGTAACTTCTTTGTTGTAATATGAGAAGAGTAAATTGTGTTTACAGTGCCCTCAGAAAGTATTCATACCCCTTGACTTATTCCACATTTTGTTACAGCCTGAATTCAAAATGGATTAAATAAAAAATGTTCTCTCACCTACACAATACCCAAAGTCAAAACATGTTTTTTATATTTTTGGCAAATGTATTGAAAATCAAATACAGAAATATCTCATTTACAGAAGTATTCAGACCCCTGAGTCAATACATGCTAGAATCACCTTTGGCAGCGATTACAGCTGTAATTCTCTCTAAGAGCTTTGCACACCTGGATTGTACAATATTTGCACATTATTCTTCAAACTCTTTCCAGTTGGTTGTTGATCATTGCTAGACAGCCATTTTCAAGTCTTGACATAGATTTAAGCCGATTTTAAGTCAAAACTGTAACTATGCCACTCAGGAACATTCAATGTTGTCTTGGTAAGCAACTCCAGTGTATATTTGGCCTTCCTCTAGGATTTTGCCTGTGCTTAGCTCGATTCTGTTTATTTGTATCCTAAAAAGACTCCCTAGACCTTGCCGATGACAAGCATACCCATAACATGATGCAGCCACCACCATACTTGAAAATATGAAGAGTGGTACTCAGTGACGTGTTGTGTTGGATTTGCCCCAAACATAAAGCTTTGTATTCTGGACATAAAGTTAATTTCTTTGCCACATTTTACTTTAGTGCCTTATTGCAAGCAGGGTGCATGTTTTGGAATATTTTTTATTCTGTGACAAATGTAAAATGTCTCTTAATGTTTAAACTGCAATTTCTTTGTTTAAACAAAGCTTTATTTCTTTGTTTAAACATTTAAACATTAAAACATTCATAAAATGACATGAATTCAAAATTCAGATGTGGTTTTGCATACGACCGTTAGGGGGCAATGGAGTTCAATCTACCGTAGTCCTGGCTACTTACATATGGGTCGTCACAAGGTGCCACAGCCACAAAGTAAAAAAGGCCGCATATTTCTAAAATGTATCTTCTTAAAATGTGATTTTAATCCTGACCTTAACCACACTGCTAACCTTATGCCTAACCCTAACCTTAAATTATATTTAAAAAATATAATGTATTTGTTCATGAATTTTTATGATAGACTTTGTGGCTGTGGTAACTAGTGGAAACCCCTACCAGATGGCGCTCACGTTACTGCTGTCCCACACTCACTCAGCAACATTTTACATTTACATTTTAGTCATTTAGCAGACGTTCTTATCCAGAGCGACTTACAGTTAGTGAGTGCATACATTTTTCATACTGGCCCCCCGTGGGAATCGAACCCACAATCCTGGCGTTGCAAGCACCATGCTCTACCAACTGAGCTACAGGAGGCCTTCAGCAACGATGGTATTTCTCTGTGTGCCTCTCCTCCATGTTCTCAGTTGTCAGTACGTACTTCATGTCACACTTCTTATCAATGTGATGGCTCGTTACAGTGATTTATGACAGCATGTTTATAGATGTCCACCAATCTGTTGTTAACGACACATATGGTGTTTGAGAGCTGGCGCTTTGTACTTGCATTTGCAGAGCAATCATTGTACAATTTCTCCATCAGGGCTGTCACGGTTTTTCGACATGGCATCTTGTAGTCTGGTTCTAGATATGCCATTAGGGTATTGAAGCCGACATACACTACCGTTGACAATGGCTGCATATCAACTGCAATCATTTCTGTAATCAGTGCTGTGATTTTCTCACTCCCTTATCGCACTGCTGCCAGCAATGGGTTGGGTCATCCCTTTCAGCACAGCCTGGTCTCATAGACTAGAGGGAACATAGTAAACATACATCTGGGAGACTGAAATTGGTATGATATTTCACGTTTGGTATGGTTACATAAGACAGATGGTTACTTAAAGCAAAAATGTATAATGCGAGATGCGAACTTCTAGCATCCCAAAGGTGGCGAGATGGAATCTCATCACGGACAACTTTAGCATTTTAGCTAATTAGCAACTTTTTCACCACCTTTTTAGCTACTTTGCCACTACTTAGCATGGTAGCTAACAATTCCCCTAACCCTAACCTTAACCCTTTTAGCTAACCCTAACCTTAACCCTTTAACCTAACTCCTAAACTTAACCTTAACCCCTAGCCTAGCTAATGTTAGCCAGCTAGCTAACGTCAGCCACCTAGCTAGAATTTGTAAAATATCATACATTTTGCAAATTCGTAACATATAGTATGTTTTGCAAATTCGTAACATATAATACTAATTGTAATTCGTAACATACAGTATCATACGAAATGGGTGATGGACATCCACAAATTAATACATACCATACAATATCGAACATATCATACTGGAGTGTATGTACAGAATAATATGAAATGCTCTGAGACCAGGTTGTTCAGCATTACACCTGGACTGCCAACTGTAGCTCAATTCCACCTTGCAAAGTTTGCTTTTCATTACCTTCTCATTTAACTTCTCAAAGTATTGCTATACAGGACTTCACGGCTGTGTCTCACTCTGCCATTTTTCCAACTGTTAACGAAGATGACATGCGTGGCAAATAATTTGAAATATTTGTATCTCCTCCTACTAACATTACAGCATTGTTGCATTAGGTATTTGTAAAAATAATAATAATAACATTCCCATTATGATGATGATTCGGGCCTGTTAGTGGTAGTTTTGTGATAACTGCACTGTGATTTTAATTTTGTAATTAAAAATAATAATTAGGTTAGGGATTTTTTCTAAACTTTAACGATCACAACGTCGTTTAAATGTTCTTACGCCTAGTACAGGCTTCCTTCTTTTCACTCTGTAATTTAGGTTAGTATTGTGGACTAACTACAATGTTGTTGATCCATCCTCAGTTTTCTCCTATCACAGCCATTAAACTCTGTAACTGTTTTAAAGTCACCAATGGCCTCATGGTGAAGTCCCTGAGCGGTTTCCTTCCTCCCCAGCAACTGAGTTAGGAAGGATGCCTGTATCTTTGTAGTGACTGGGTGTATTGATACACTATTCAAAGTGTAATTTATAAATTCAAAGGGATATTCAATGTCTGCTTCTTTCTTTTTTACACATCTACCAATAGTTGCCCTTCTTTAATAATAATATAATAATAATATGCCATTTAGCAGACGCTTTTATCCAAAGCGACTTACAGGCATTGGAAAACCTCTCCGGTCTTTGTGGTTGAATCTGTTTGAAATTCACTGCTCGACTGAGGGACCTTACAGATCGTTATATGTGGGGTACAGAGGTGAGGTAATCATATTCTCATGATATCCATTTAAAGACCAGTGAACCAGACACAGCTCTGGTTTTACTATTCCTGAATTTATTATGCCAAATACCTGTATGGTTATAAAGAAATTACTTACTGTGAAGTTATTTATACATTTCTAAATAAGCATGTATAGAGACTCCATAAAACCACCTGTTCCTTTTCCACACAATATCACAGATGCACTATAGTGGAAAGGTTTGCAGGGCACTGGAGCGTTCTGGACAAGGGAGAGTGTGTGTGTGCTTGTGTAGGAGGGAAAGTGTGTGTGTGTGTTTTGGCCTTGGTGTCTATACAGCTGATCTTCCTGTGGAGTAGCTCAAAGTCAGGCACCAGTGGCAGCCTCTACATCTCTCCCTCTCCTTCTTTCTCCCTCTGTCTCGACTTCCCTGCAGCTCAGATTTCCTCTCCATATGCCAAAACGTTGCACTCTCTATTCTATCGTCTCCCTCCTACTGTGTCTTTCCTCTATTATTGTAGATGGAGACCCAGTGTGTTTCGCTGGCTGTGCAGTGTACTTCTCTACCTGTACTGAGGACCAGACGTTACTAATACAGCAGGCCACGGTGGAGGAGTGAGGGGTCAGAGAGGTCAGGCAGATGCTAACCCAACCCAGCACACAGGCTACACACTTCAATCATTATCCAACAGAAGGCCATGTCCTGGGCTGTTACAGCTGGGTCGCTAACTCCCTTGGTGTAACATTTAGGTTCAAAGCATTATGGGTTGGTTGGTTGATTTACCTGGCTGGCTCTCAGGGCGTGTTGTGATGTGCCGTGTCTCTCCCGGGGTGAGTAGGGACAGGGTGGAGGCACGGAAGCAGCCATTTTATCTCAGCCGGTAGGCAGGGCCTGGGCCTCATCATGGCCTCTCTCTTTGAGGAGCACTTGATCCGGACATCACACACACGGTTCTGATTTCTCCATACAGACAGAGGACTTTTGTGTACCTGATGGTTCTACTTATTTGCTGATCAGACCACTGAGAGGGATTGGATGGTTGGGGTTCAGCTCAGTATTGTAGCTGGGCAGGGGCTGACTGAATGACTGTACCCAATCTATGTCATACTGCCTGGAACAGCATGTGAGAAGAACTGAATGACCTTATCTCAACTCTTTCTGCGTTGAAGCAATGATGTATTGAAAATCAATGAGCGTCTCTGATTTGCTGTGTTGTTTCTGCAGGACACAGAGAAGGAGAGCCTTGTCGAGCGAGAGAGAATCAAGTCACAGATCTGGGAGCTACGGAGCCACCAGACACAGCAGGGCAGAAAGCTGCACAGGACAGGTGAGCAACGGCACTGTTCAAAGAACTGAGCTGAGAGGTTGAAAGACCATATGGATGGTTGACTGTTTCTTTCCCTTAGCCAGTCCGTAGGTCCCCCCCCACACACACACACACACAGAGACACACATACACATACAGTTCATTTTCTACCTGTTCTGTTCTATATATGGCATGCTTATATGATCATGTTTGTCTTAGCTTAAGGGTCAAGTTTGGATAGGCACTTATACTTAAACACAACATTGATTCAAATATTGCCTGTACCTCCACACTTATGCACCTAGATGCAATTTCCTCTGGCCTGCTAGTGAAAATAGCCAGCCAATAGAGCCATTCTGCTGTAGAGGGCGGCAGTGGAGCTGAGACTGTCACATTGGTTATCACTGTTTTTAGCTCCTCACTCCATCTTTATTTTCAGGTTAGAGGCACCACAGTCATGGGACTCTGGCTTTGGGTGTGTAGTGATTTCATTAACCACTGTTAGAAAACCTAAATTGAAAACACAGTGAATGCTTTACTATAGGTGTGCTATCTTTAGCCAAGACCTTACGACTTGTACACACACACTCCCCCACACAGAAAGACATGAGAAAAGACTGGTAAAGGGCTATGAGAGAGCAGGATATAGGAGAGAGGTATATCTGAGAGAGCATGTAGTAGAATAGAGAATTTCAATAGTAACCACACTGCTAACCTTATGCCTAACCTAACCTTAAATTATATTAAAAAATATAATTTATTTGTTCATGAATTTTTATGATAGACTTTGGCTGTGGTAACTAGTGGAAACCCTACCAGATGGCGCTCACGTTACTGCTGTCCACACTCACTCAGCAACATTTTACATTTACATTTTAGTCATTTAGCAGACGCTCACATCTCTCACACTTTGAATGCCTCTAAAGTGAGCAAGTGTTTGTTGAACCAATATACGCCGCCTCTACTGCTTTATTTTTACTCTAAGGCTAAAGGTAAGTATTTTTCTGATCAAGGAACCCACCCCAATGTTGACCTGAACCTGGCCAGTCCCTGGCTGGGTCCTTTGACTGTAATTACCTCATGTGGCCTGGTCTACCCTTACCCTACAGCACCCCGCTCATCAGCCAGTGTCTGGTAGTAGTGGGGTTATGAGACGGAACAGGAACATCCCCCGTTCAAAGGGGAACCACACCTAGTAGTAATACATCTGCTATTTTAAGCACATACCAGAACAGAACCCTTTCTTGACATGGCCCTCGCCCTGCAATTTGGTCCGGGGTGAAGGCAGGGCCAGCGGCAGGCAGGAGCAGACCTCCACAGAGCAGAGGGATTGTGGGTAGGAGCTGTTTGAAATGGACGCCGATACACAGACACAGGAAGTTAGTGGCTGGGAACGGATAGGGTGGGTTGGGCCGGGGGGTGGGGGGGGCTGTCCTTTTTAACAGAGAGAAGGAGAGCGGTGTCTAGAGGGAGGACTAAACTTGGAAGATTATGGGGGTACTGTGGCACACTGTCTGCCACACACACACACACACACACACACACTACCTCTCTCTCTTTTCTTACACACACACCCTCAAATATACAGCACAGTCTTGCACACATATATACACTCACACTCCATAGTGTTGGTGAAAAGGAAGCTTGTGCTCAATTCAGAATTGAATTGAATGCCGCATAAATTTCAATTATGGAATTTGAATTGAAGTAGTAAACAGGATACAGAATTGCTATTATAATTTGAATGAAAGAAAATAGAATTCAATGAAATTCAAATACCTCTTTTATTCTATGTTAGGTGTAGTCTATACAAATATACATCTTGTACATAAAACATGTCATTATAGACCTGCATATAAAATATGAATTAACAAAAGATTTTCAGGACTAACTTCAAATGAACGATCAAGGAAAACAACCTGTATATGAATATTCTAAGTTATTATATTTCATTAATCACTTTTAAAAAATCACTTAAAAAAATATATTTATGGGGAAAATAATACATTTCCAAGAATGCATTAGTTTTACCCTCAAGTTGACCCCAAAGCCTTCAAAAAGAAGCCAAACAAATTAAATGGTTGGTGGAAATATAATTGGCTATTCTAAGCACCAAGGTAAAAATATTATATGAACATTGTTTCCAGAGAAAGGTAATATATTTGGTATCTGGAAGTGAGACCTGTCAGCTTCAATCAAACTCATGTTATTTGACTGAGTGTAATTTCTTTGCATTGCACTGAATTACATTTTATATCCTGTGGGGTGTGGCCAATTCAATTAGAATTTCAACACATGAGTTGAATAGGGGTCAATTCCAAAATTCTGAATTGAGCACAACCCTGGTGAGAAGTCTGTAGTTTAGGAAATGACCCGTTTGTGAGTGGCTCAGTGGAATGTGCTCTGTCCCTCAGATAGTCCCAGGGGAGACTCCTCAACTTTGAACTCGACAATGTTGTTGCTGTTTTGTTTTTGTGTGTTCGTTAAGAAGGGGGGAGGGGAGGGAAGTCTGTATTATGCACTATTGTGGTTATTTAAAACAATCCTCTCATTATCTAAGAGCAGTAGGGGTTTTTCCCAGAAACCCTCACAACAGCACACAATTGACTGGACATGATGTACAAACTGCAACAACATCAATCACTAGTTTGCAACTCTTTGGCAGCTCCTCCCTTCAACTATAGGTCTCTTTTAATTGGACTTGACTGAGGCATACAATGATGTGTCTCTTGTAAGGACACTGTGATTTTCCCCTCTGTGACCTGTCTTTATGCAGCTTGTCTGTGGTCCCTGTACAGCCCCCAGAGTTAAAGATGCTGAGCAGTGTGCATCACGGGGAGAGTGAGAGACTGAGCGAGAGACTGGCTCTAGGAGGGGGAGGATGTGGGCACTGCAGTGTTTGGAGTGTGGTTTCCTGATGAGAGGAGGAGGAATGAAGGAGGTTGGATTCAGACCGGGGGAGGGGGAAGTACTTGTCCTATTTTCTATTTCACCCCCACTTCCTGTTCCCCTACACTTCCTGCTAGTTGGTTCCCACCTAGTGTTCCGGCGCTTGCGCTCTAATCTCTTTTACACACACTCACACACAACAGACACACAGACATCTGGTCCAGGAATTGAGTCAGGCGTGGAGGAAATGCCTACATCCCCTTGTGTCCTCTTTTATCCCCAGTGACGCTCACATGTCTCTCACACTGTACTCTGGGGGTGTTTGGCCTCTGCGGAAACCTTTTAATTTTCACCAGCAGTCTCCAAGTTGTCCAGAAACTGCTCACGTGATCCTACATTCCATCTTGTTTATGTTAGGTCAGAGAAACTGAAAAAAATGCAAGAACAGAATTGTACATAACAGAGTTGTATTTCCATGGTATGTGTTCCTCGGCACTATACTAGATCTACTCATGGGTATGTTCCACTCACTGTATTGTGGTCTTTGTGTTCCGTAGGCTCCAACTCAGGCATGGTTCTGGTTCTGGACCCCCTGGTGAGGGATGAGGTCCCGGGGACTCAGCTGACCCGCCCACAGCCCCGGGACCCTGTGACATCATCAGAGCCGGACGTGGTCCTATCCCACCGCCAGCGCTCTGACTCGACAGCCTCAGACCGCAGCCTGGCCTCCAGGCCCCGTCTGGACTCTGGAGCATCAGAAAAGAGCCTGGGCTCAGCCTTCCGGACCAGGGTGGACTCAGGAGCTTCAGACAGAAGCCAGTGTTCCGCCCACAGAGGCAGACTGGACTCTGGGGCCTCAGAGTCCCGCTTCAGACAGAGACTGGACTCTGGCACGTCAGACTCCAGCATGGGACCGCCAGCCCCCCTGGGCTCTGAGACCTCCGACAGCGCAGGGCTCCTGTCACGGAAACGGCTGGACTCGGGGACGTCTGACCTGAGCGTGGGCGTGTTCTCTGTGGGCCGGAGCCGAGTAGAACAGCCAGTGGTGACCATGAGTAGCTCCTCCTCCAGCATAGAATCCGAGGCTGAAAGCACCAACCACCATCCAGTCCAGCCCCGTCAGGACAGCTCCACTACCAACTGTTATCTGCCTGATGGGGCCGTCCTATTCAGGAAAGCCCCAGACTCCCACAGTGGCCTGCTCAATGGCAGTGCCAAGGAAAGAGGAGACATCCAGGAACAGAAGGTACAGTCTTGTTGAATCTGCCTGGCTAATGCTTGCTGACATGATCTGCTGTATCTCTAGGTAGAACAGTAGAATATTTAGGTTCACACCACTAGAGGGGGATGTTGAGCTATGATGGCGTGTCTCCCTCCCTCTCTCTCCTCCCCTCTCTTTTGAAGCACCAGTTCTCAGCAGCATCTTTGTAACGTCGGCAGCTATAAACATATAATCTTTCTCTGTACGTGTTTAAAATATTTGTTTGACTATGGTTACTTGGCTACACAAATAAACCTAGCACCTCAGAGCTGGCCCAAATCCTTTCTTGTGCTCAGCTGGTTCTGGTTCCCCTCAGATCTCTGTGTCCCTCACCTGCTGTCAGAGGGAGAGCCACTGGGGCTGGCCAGCAACAGCCAAACACACAGGCAGGAGATGGCTTCTGAAGCATTCGGAGTCTCTATTGTTTGCTTAACGGCCTCATCAGAGACTAGTGTCATCATGACGCCACGTTGTTGCCCTTATGGGGAGTGTTTACCCAACGCAGGCTCCAGGCTCTTTTATAGAACCCTGCAATATGGTATGCTTATCTTCCATGTGTTTACATTGCGCTGTGGAGGCTCAGGCACATCGTGGCCCCATGGCCCCTCAGCCCAAAAAAGAACAGCTCCAAACGTGCCTCCCTCGTGCCAAACACTGTTACATAATGTTGACGTGGATGTCTCCATGACCAGCCTGATCCTCCCTGCCATCCCATGGATCTGCACCACTGTTACATAATGTTGACGTGGATGTCTCCATGACCAGCCTGATCCTCCCTGCCATCCCATGGATCTGCACCACTGTTACATAATGTTGACGTGGATGTCTCCATGACCAGCCTGATCCTCCCTGCCATCCCATGGATCTGCACCACTGTTACATAATGTTCACGTGGATGTCTCCATGACCAGCCTGATCCTCCCTGCCATCCCATGGATCTGCACCACTGTTACATAATGTTGACGTGGATGTCTCCATGACCAGCCTGATCCTCCCTGCCATCCCATGGATCTGCACCACTGTTACATAATGTTCACGTGGATGTCTCCATGACCAGCCTGATCCTCCCTGCCATCCCATGGATCTGCACCACTGTTACATAATGTTGACGTGGATGTCTCCATGACCAGCCTGATCCTCCCTGCCATCCCATGGATCTGCACCACTGTTACATAATGTTGACGTGGATGTCTCCATGACCAGCCTGATCCTCCCTGCCATCCCATGGATCTGCACCACTGTTACATAATGTTGACGTGGATGTCTCCATGACCAGCCTGATCCTCCCTGCCATCCCATGGATCTGCACTATTGCCCTGTGTTTCTTATTGCTGTGTTCTAATTTAAGCTTCTCTCACTTTTACTCTTTTCTCTCTCTCTCTCTCTTGCTCCCCCCCCCCCCCCTTTCAGGTCAGATATACTTTACTCACTCCTCTCAGCAAATCAAAGGATGCAGGTAAGCATGTTTGCAGATACAAACCTTATCTATGTGTGTATGTATATGTAATCGCCTGACATTAAGTGGGAGCCAGGGCGGATTTGTGGCTCTACTGTGAAACTCCACCAGCAGTGTTGATAACATCACACCAGAGGATCAATGAACTGAGGCCCTTAGTGCTGCTGAGTTATAGCTGTTCCTTTAATATCAAGACGTCTTGCTCCCTGACTCCTATCAGTTTAATGGCTTCCATCCAGAAGAGCTTTGCAGGGCCAGCATGACCGTATAGGGCCAGTCATACAGGGGAAGGGGTGAGGGCGCACCGCTAGAGGATTGGATGGTGAGATAGAAGAATGCCCTTCTTTATAATCTCCTCTCTGTGGCCCCAGACTCCTAAAAGCTTTTGATTCTCAAGAACACTAAATTGAGATTATTACGAGGGAGGGAAATGCTTCTCTAAATGATTGTGGAGCCTTTCCCTATATGTGGTGAAAGCAGACCATCACTCTACTGTACAGAAAGGAGCATGAATCCGGAAACACTCAGGCAACCTAGAAACGGAGCAAATCTGTCAGCTAATGGCCTAAGATGACGCACTGAAGAAGAGGGAGAATTAGGGAGGGCGAGGGGGATTGAAGAAAAGGAGGGGGGGGAGAGAGGGGGAGAGCGAGAGAAGGGAAATCAAGTCAAGGTATTTGCAGAGAGCTTTAGCATGAGACGGGCAGTAAGAGTGCTGCTTTGAGTTTGGGGACTTTTAGTCATATTGTCCTGCTGAAGACTTTGAAATGTTTCCAGTCTTTGTATGTCAGCTGTACCGGGGGGCTGGGTAATTAACTACTGAGTTTGTATTACTTGACTGTGTCTGTTCCTCTGTTCTTTGCTACTGTGTGTAAATCATTTCCACTCATGCTTTCTGTCTGTTTTGCAGTTCCTGAGAAGAAAGAGCCGGTTGTCTTGGCACCGTTCGGCCGGGCTAACTCTGTGCGGGACCGTATGCGTAAGTTCACAGAGCCCAGTCCCAGTGTCCCGGTCCTGAAGAGGGGCTCTCAGTCTCTGAGGAACACGACAGCCCCCAGTGCCCGGGTCCTAGGCAGAGCCACCCAGCTGAGTGAGGGGCCAGCAGCAGGGCCAGCCAAGCAGACAGCAGGGACCACAGCAGTATCCATCACCACCCCTACAGACAGGCCCGGGAGACCCCACTTAGGCTCTACATCTTACTCTTCATCCTCCTCCTCCTCAAATAACCATGTCCAATGCCAGGGCACAGTTCATCCAGGGGGCGTGGCCACCAAATCTCTGCAAAGCGCTGCTCAATCTCTGAACGCTGTAGGCGGGGCAAATCAGACGGCTGAAATGCTGCGGCTAGCCTCGGACGGCTCAAAGGAAGACAAGACCCCAGGGAGAGCAGCTGCACAGCGGGACAGCAAGGGAGCGGCAGACCCCGACATGAAGACCTTCCTAACTATCGAGATCAAAGATGGGCGCACCACCACCACCTCCTCTTCATCCTCTAGAGGCAACCTGGCCCCCATGGCCCCACGCATCACCACCAACGCCATAGGACAGAGAGCAGGTAGGAGCACTACCTAACTCTAAACCTAACACTCCTCCCTCCCAAGCATCACTCACTACTGTCTGAGCAGACTAGGGACATGATGTGCTGGTTTGTTTACTGTGGCCTTTGAATTCCCACCTGAATCTTAGAATAGATCAACAAACATTACCAGTGGAACATACAGGGACATTTTCCATCCCTCCAGCCCAGTGTACTGCAGCAGATCAGATGCACTGTGCCTGTGTGTGGACTGGAGGCAGGCAGTGTAGATATGGATCCTGCTCTTTCCCAGCTCCACCTCTGCATGCTAATATCAGCCTTCAGATACCACTGGAATCCCTGTTGCCGTGGGAGACCAGAGACGCCACAGGGGCAGGGGGCAGTCAGCCAGGGGACAGGCCAGGGTCAGGGAGTGTGTGTGTGTGGGAGCAGGGGTCTGCTGTGGATATGGAGCAGCATAGTCTCTGTGATGGGCAGGCACACTGTGTGGAGGGGGGTGGGAGGGTGGTATGAGAATAGGTACACACAACAATGGGCAGTTATTGAGTGTAGCTAGCTACTATATGGTCTGACATTACAATACGCTATGGTCTCTCTGTGGCATCCTGCAGAGTTGGCGATGTCCACAACAGACTATGGTCTGTGTACCACTGTAAATGCCATACTAACACTCACTGTACCGTTGTACCCAGGCAAACGTTGTCAACGCAAAAGTAGAAAAATGGGCATTATCACTACATTTCCAGGACACCTACTTGTCTGTGTCTGTCAATACAGTATGTGTTTCTGTATGTGTATGTTAGTGTCTTGGTGCATCTCAGAAGCAGCCTGCTGTGGAGATCTGTCCAAACAGCCAGTCCTGTTCTCCAACACTTTCCAGCCACCAGGACCTCTAACCCAAACAGTTTACTTAAGACCCTGCCTGGAGCAGGACTATTACAGCACCCAGTCAGCCTCTGATTACCCCTCCCCTCCTCCCAGACCCTCCGACAGCTCCACTGGGCTTCTTCAAGAGGCCGGCATTGTTGCTTTTAAGCCTCATTTGCTCTAATGGCTTTGGGGTCTTTTTTTGGAAGCTCCCTGACTGACTGAAGACAGGCTTGGATAATGTCTAGTTCTCCCAGCAGCTCCTATCAACAGTCCTGGCTGAGTGTGCAGTACAGAAAACTGGAACGGATCAAACAGGCACTTCTGTTTTATAGCTGCGGTTAAACTGACAGAGATGCTGTCTTATGATGGCCTCCAGCTTACTGTGTGGGGGTGTTAGTGCACTGGTCACATGAAAATGTGTGTATACATACAGAGAGGGATGGAACATGAGTGTTTATATTAGCGGCGGCTTTGTCCATAGTGTTACTCACTCGTTAGATATGAGACCTCCCATCACCATGGCAGCTCATGTCAGTGAGTGATGGCCCCCTCAGCACACTCAGGGACATGGGCACATCATCATGTCCAATATACAAAAAGATATAGGCTTAGGGGCCTTAAGTCCATTTAACATTTTAATATTTATGGATACACACTGGTGGTGTGCTGTGACATTGTTTTTAAATGACAGCTTTTGACATTTCAGCTCCATGTAAGTCTCTTCCTGTATGTCTCCCTCTCTCTCCCTGGCAGAGTTGACCCTGGGCCTGAGAGCAACCCCCTTCAAGATGTCCTCCTCCAGCCTTACCACCGGATCCTCCTTCAAGGTAACTGTAACAATCCACTCCTCCTGACCTGGCAGATAGACTGGGTGTAATGACCATAACATAACCTGTCAAACCTGAGTTCTGCATGTCATGCCTATAACAGCTATCAATGTTGGACTGTAAGTTGAACAGTCATGGTTTACCTCTTGCCTTGAAGTTTCAATTGCAACTTAATTTGATTGAATTAAAAACCACAACCCAAAGGCCCCTAAAGGCAAGTGCCTCAGATGCCGATAGAGAGATTTTTTAAAGTGTACAATGTTTATAGGGAGAGAGGGGTCACATCTGTCCTTGTATGATAAACATACAGTGAGGGATGTGCACTGGGAACTCTTCACATTCTCTTTCTGTCCCATCCCTCCTGAGATGCATCTCTAGCCACTAAACTAGACAAGGACACAGATTCTTCATATTTTCTCGTACCCTAGAAAACCCCTGAGCCCTTCTACCATTAACCGGGGTTCAGGCACTTTGATTGGTAGAGAGTCATCAGGTTCATTGATGATTGGTGCTGATGTCTCCAGTCAGGTGGGTTAGGGTTAGTTGAGGTGGTGAGCAGAGGGAAGAGACCACCCATCCCCTCCCACCCCAGGCCCTGCAGTGCCCTGACCTCTCAGAGGGTGAGAGTCAGTGTCCTCAGGGTGCCTACTCTCCCCTCCTTCCATTAAGGAAAAAGCTCTGTGGTGATTGAGTGAATGGAGGGTATGGGAGAAGTGTAGTCTAGTTTACTCACTCATTAATGGTTCTGTATTCCACCCCCCATGGAGGGTGGAGCAGTAATCTGGTTAGGGGATCAGGGCCGGGCTGGGAGGACGCTGGCTGGGCCTGGGAGTGGGGAGGGGGGACTGTCTCCATCAGTTAACCCTGCAGTCACACACATCCAGACAAATACAGACACAGATGGGTGGCTCTTACACACAGACAGACTGAGCCAGTCGGACCGAGCCAGTCGGACCGAGCCAGTCGGACCGAGAAAGAGGCAAGAAGGCATTCATTCATTCTGCAGAAGATGAGGTGTATGCTTGACTGAGCTAAGCGTTATCAGGAGTCAGGACAAATAGGTAACTACAGTGGAGAGTGATTAGAGTTTAGAGTTTAATATGTCTGTGTGTATGTGATATATTACGATTAAATTTAAACTTTTCCAAATATCAGTGGTGAATTTTGGTGCCTCATGTGAATGTCATGGATAGAACCACTACATACCGGTATGTCCACTTTTTATTGTTTACAGGTATTAAGACCATGTGCTGTGGTTTAGAATGTGTACTTCTGTAATCCACACTGTTTGTGAATAAGATCCCAAGGCCAGTGTTTATTTTTGTGTAGGCACGCTGGGGACTCTTTTCTTTCATCCCAAGCCACCAGCATGGTGCTCTGGATTATAGCATGGTGTATCAGTTACCGTTACTTAAGCCCTAAATTGTTATTATGCTACTAATGCGATTGTTATACAGCGCTGTCAGGGGTAGGGGTTAAGCCTTTGAACTTGACACATGCAGCAAAGTGTAACACGCTGTACTTTCTGCTTGCATTGGCATGTTATATTAGCATATTAGCAGGTAGGTAATGCAGACACAAACGTGGGTGAACAAGCAAGCAGAAAGAACACTGGTAATGACTGCCGCATGAGGTCTCATGTCTTCCATGATTACTGTGAGGATGGGAGAGCCACCGGTGGGCCTCCCCACCCTCCTCACTCTCTCCCTGGGCTCTGAAAGTGAGCAGGGTCCCTGAATTATCCTGCCGTCAGGCTTATTCGGTTATTAGGCAATCGTGGAATTGTGGGAGATGCTGGCAGTCGCTGTTTTCACTCTGGGTTAGCATCAAGCAGGGGCTTGCAGTGGTCTAAGGCACTGCATCGCAGTGCTAACTGTGCCACTAGAGATCCTGGTTCGAATCCAGGCTCTGTCGCAGCCGGCCGCGACCGGGAGACTCATGGGCGGCGCACAATTGGCCCAGCGTCGTCTAGGGTAGGGGAGGGAATGGCCGGCAGGGATGTAGCTCAGTTGATAGAGCATGGCGTTTGCAACGCCAGGGTTGTGGGTTCGATTCCCACGGGGGGCCAGTATAAAAAAATAAAAAATATGTAATCACTAACTGTAAGTCGCTCTGGATAAGAGTGTCTGCTAAATGACTAAAATGTAAATGTAAATGAGAGTTGGGCTGCTGCACTGTAACTCTTCCCTGGGCCCAGACCCCACCACCTGTCCACACAGTCTCTCAGGCCCATGGAAGTTCAAGGGTGCGTGACAACGACGTTACCAGGACCATGGACTTTGTCCAGGATGATGGATTGGCTTCCAGTCCCACCATCAACATGCATTGACAGCAATCCTCATTCACATTCCTCTGTCCTCTATTGGATTGTAGGGTTGTCTGATGTATACACACTGATGAAACAGTCCTATTATGGATGTCTTGCAATCAGAGATTTGTGATAAGAGGGTTGTTTTGGATTAGTTGGTCTTTATTGGTGTTTGGTAAAGGAGGCTACAGACTGTCTGTGATCTGTGTGGGTGGTCCTCTGCTCCTCTCTGGTGGTCTGTCCTCAAAACAGTTACTTAATGACGGCTTACTTTAGGTTGAGATTAGTTTATAGACTGGGATAATGCAGATAGGGTAGCATTGAGTCTGGGCAGAATAATAAAAATGCATCAACTCTGAAGAAAGCGAGCAAGAAGCATGTGAGGGAGGTAAATTAGTGATGGTAAGTAGAGAACATTAAAAATAGGAAGCATTAAGGATAGAAATGGAGGGTAAGTAAGATCGACAGATGGGTAAATAGGGCAGACAGTGAAAGAGGGAGGATGGAATATTGAAAGAGAAAGTACGAAAGGGAAAGGTGAAAGGTGAAACGGAAAGTGAAAAAGAGGGAGTGCTGTAAAGAATTGCTGCCACCCACCCGCTCATCTCTGTCACCCACACGTCCATGCTGTCTGCTGCCCCCGTGCCCTCGGATATAAATAATGCCATCTCTCTGTCTCCGCGGCGATGACAGACAGGCAATAAGTCGATTTCCCACGGGCATGGAGATCACAGCAGAGCCTTGGGTCACGCTAGTAACACTGTACTGGGTTATTTGGCCACTGTCCAACAGTGAATGATTAACTGTCAGTCCTGGCCCCTTACTGTCATATAGCACACTCATCTCCCTATTGGCAGCCTGAACATACTCTCTGAACATGGGCTACCCCAACCAGCACACATGTGCCCCATTGTATGAACTTTGTAGAGGAAAGGAGAAGGGGGGAGAGAGAGGAGGACTGCCTATTTTGGAGATGATCCTGATCTGTGGAGCCATGAAAGTCAGAAGCAGTGTGTTACTGTTTTATCCCTGGAGGTTTATGGCCATCTGGTTTAAAGCTGTGCTCTAAGAGCATTTATCCCATTGTGCTGTTCTTCCCCTGCAGTGGGGCCAGGGTGAAGTCCCAGACGAGCTTGATTGGTGCGTTCTGGATAAAGCTGCTAACTCCATTTTTAGACACTCGTAAATAACTGCAGAGGGGTCACAATGGCCAAAGACATTCTCACGTCTCTGAGACACACAGAATTAATGTCTATCTGATTCACACAGGCGTGCCTTGGGGCATAAATACAGGCACTTGCTTATTAAACATATACAGAACATCTAGAGATATAGAGAACATCCACACATGAACATTGACATGCACAACACATGCTCTCTCTGTCTCCGACTCTCTTTCTCGTTCTTCCTCTCCCACACACATGCTCAAATACGCACAAACAAAACGGACTGTTTTTTTGACAAGCACACACACAAACCTTGTCAGTGTTCAGATGCCGCTCTGTGTGTGTTTGCCAGACTAGGGTGATGTCCTTGACGGAGTCTGACCCACTTATCCTGGCATGCCTGGCCACAGTTTCTCTGGACAACTCCCTGTTCCTGGAAGCTGCTCCGCTCTCCTTTAAACCCAGGAAAACACCACTCTCCAGGGTCAGCACACACTATCAAGGAATACAATGAATGACGAGGGGTTTGATGAAACCACCATGTAAAATGAATAAAACTGTTTTGAGTTCCGATTGCTTGTTTTCAGTGAACAGAGTTTAGTTGAGTATCTATTTGAATAATATCTCATTCAGTTTTAGCTATATTACTTAGTCAAGCACCATTTAGGTGTGTGTACCAGAGGTTAAGAACAACATCACTTGCAGAGGGCATACCTGTGTTGCGCTAACCTTGTTCACCTGATATACTGTAGTTTGAGCTATTATGCACACCTACAGTACTGTAATATTCTGGAATTGGTATAAGCATTCGATACACAAACAAACATACTGGACGCACATATTCTCATGAAGACACATAGACTATTCTTGACAGACAAAGCACTTGAAGCATGCACACGTAACAGCAGCTGGTCAGATCACTGTGATATTCTATCAGCAAGTTCCAAAGCAAACACACTGCAGAGAGCAGCTGGCCTTTTCCAAGAGCCTTCCCTACAACCAGGGTCAGCCAGAACCAGGTTCAGGTTTTCTATAGCCCACTGCATTCGCCACCCTCCGTCTCTCTCTCATGGCTCTGTGTGCTTCTTAGGTTCTCCTTACCCTTGGTGGCCTGTCCTATGACCTGACCAATGCAGCTCAACTGACTCATGATGTCAAGCCTGAGAGGCTGCAGTTTGTCAGAAACCGTTTTAGGGGAGTGAAACTAGCTGAGCCCTCCCAGTCGGCCAGGCCCAGAGCCCCATCCAAACACCCAGTTGCCTGCCAATCAAGGTGTGAAGGACAAGGGCTCTAAATAAAAGGGGAGTTGAGGGAGGTAGGGGAGAGAGCGTTTCTGAATTGATGCCACCAGTATTCCCCCACTGGCCCCCACTAGTCCCCCAGGCCCTGACTGGCTCAGTGGAATAATAGACTGGTCCAGTGATAAATAGACATGTCTATAGCACCTGAGGGAAGAAAAGGTGGTGGGGGCCTCTGCTGCCTTAGAAACTGTATTCCTTGCATGCTCATTGGCTGTCTGGGACCAGGTCCCTAAAGAGGGGAGATTTGTGGGGGGTATAAAGAACGAGAGTTGTTTTGGAGGGTTTCTATAAACAGGCCGACAGAGAAAGCCTACTGTCCTCTTCTCCCAGGGGATATATACTCAAAAACTCAACACCCAGCGCCCTTGGATGGTTGAACTTTTAGAGCCTGATTCCAGTACTTGGTTCCTAGCGATGAGTTGAAAGAGAAGGTCTTTGCATCTCATTGTAACAGGATCGGACCTTCATTGTGACTGGTGATATTGAGAGCAGTTACCCACCATGCCTGGCATGAACCTAGACTTCCTGTCGGCCTCAGAGGCTCCACAGCCTCTGGTGGGCAGCCCAGACAGCCTATGTGTGGAGTCTGGTCTGGAGAAGGTGATCGGGGACCTGCTAGCCCAAGAGCAGGCTGAGGAGGAGGTGGGTGAGGGGGCCGAGTGTGGGCTAGAGCTGACACTGCGCTGTGCCGTGGGGGAGATCCACACTGACCCGCAGGCTTTTGGGAAGCGGGTGGATGCACGGCTAAAGGAGGCTGCGGAACGTGTGGCTCCTCTCTCCACAGCTCTGGCAGCTCTGCAGGAGGAGAACCTGAGGATGCGTATCCAGCAGGAGAGGCTTGCCCGCCAGGTGGAAGCTCTGTGTCAGGCCATGGGGCAGCCTGAACCCCCACCTTACACAGCCTTTGTCCCGGAGCCCACACCCAATGACCTCCAACTTCCATCCAGCACACTCCTCAGCCCTAAAACACCCGATGGGCTAGACTGGGAACCTGAGGCCGTCCCTGTCCCCCACCGTCCCACCTTTGCCACACGTCGCTCTTCCTCCACCTCCTCTCTGATAGGACTAGGTGGCATCTCACGTAGCAACAGCATGGTACGCCGCTCTCTCTCTGGCTGAATGGACCCCCTCCCGCCATCATATTTATCGTCATAATTTCCAGCCTTTTACTCTTTACTGACGCTCTCTTCGCTATCCCTCTTTGATATTTACCTCTAATCTGACGTCTTGAATAACACATTTTCCCATCTCTCACTGGTACTAATGAGCATCTGATCAGTCTAGATTTGTTGATGGTTTTATTGGCTGTACTAGTGCTTCGCTTGACAGCTTCAGTCTGCAGATTAGAGCACGTTGTCAGTGTCGATGGGTAGTTACATCTCAGTTTTGGTTATCATGGGGGTATCATTGTGTAGAAGTGGATTTACCCGTAACTAACCAGCTTTATCTGCATGCTTTTCTGTAGTCCCTCCTTCTTTCCTTCTGTCTTTTCCCACCCTCTATCATGAGGACAATTCCAACAGGTTCTCTTATCATCCCACATCATCCCCTCCCATCCACAATGCATGACCTTCTCTCTTTTCTCTCACTCTTTCATGCCAGCTCCTCAATCATTGTCTGTTAGTGTGTCAACTGTGTTTGTCACTGATGTGCTTTAATTCCATTGGGTGGATGATGGGGTTTGTGAAGCTGCCCTGGCAGAACCTGGCAGAGTGTTTGTTTGCATGTGTTCCTGTTTGTGTCCGTGTTCTGTCAGGGGAAATGTGTCAGGGGACACACTTCCTGTGCTGTGCTGGGAGGAAGTATCCTGTTTGCTGTCATTTAATCTTCTGAGTAACAGCCTGGTCATGATGATAGCCTCTGGTCTACTGCCGAAAAACCCTGGGCTCCTTAAGTTTCTTTGGCACGCTCCTCAGAAGAAGTCCCAAACATTGTGTTGGACTTGTGGCTCAGAGTTCGCACTTCACAGTGCTCCTGGTCAGATACTGAACCATACCCCTCTCTGTGGCCAAATTATGGTTCACAGCCTGGGTGCACTCTCTGAATACATCTCAGGTGTGTAACACCAATGTCACACCATCTCCAATCTTCTAGAGGCAGTCAGAGTGATCTTGAACCCTGCAGCCTGTTGTAGTCCAGGTCAAGAAGGTCAGCTCTGCTCTGTTGTGACTGGGGTAAAGGGAAAGCCAGCCAAAGAGCTGTGAACTTAGAGGCTCTCTTTCTGCCCTCTGTTACTTACCTTCTAATCGTTCTAATGGTATTAAACACAGGTACAGCTAACACTGATAGGCTCTGAAACCTGCCGACCTCTCTGCTGTTTTGGTCATGAGTGACAGTGTTGTGTGTGTTGATTACATTTTAAGGGATATTGAAGGGTATTTATTTGGTATTACCTGTAGTTATTCAGCTGGACAGGGTTCTTAGGCCTAGTAATGCTCCCAGTCCAGCTGGTCCTGTCCATCAGCCTCTCCAGGCCCAGGGAAGCTGTTCTCTTTGAGTTCAGCCATGTCACAGATGGATGACTGGGGTGCATGGAGGCTGACCTTACCCGACCCCTACTCTTCACAATGTGGTAGTATACAGATACACTTCTGCCTCACCAGCTTACATAACCTAGTCCTGTAGGTCAATACAGACACTTTCAATGGCATAATGTTAGACACACCAGACACCCTTAGCATATGTCCACTCTCACGCTCATTAAAGAAACTGGAAACCCATCTTTCTTCCCAACATTTAATTATTCATCATATATGCAGTTGTGTTTCCCCAGTGCTTACATAACCTAGTCCTATAGGTCTATAGACACTTTCACACACTGGCATAGTGTTAGGCACACCAGCCACTCTGAACATGAGGTCCACTCTCACACTCTCATAGAAGAAGAAAATACAATATGTCTCCCTAGGGTACGATAACTGTTACCCTAATCACCAATTAATTATATAACCATTTAAAGTGAATCTGTCCTCTCCCTCACCCTTAACCCCACCATGGCCACACTCTCTTCCAGTGAGGCCTTGTTTGTTTGGCAGGGCCATGTCCAATAACATTCCACTGCGGTCAAGTGGCTCTCACTAGGACCTGTCCCATGGGTCAGACCCCTGAGTCTCAGTCCAGACCTCCAGAACCAGAGGCCACCCTGGATCACACAGCTCTGGCTGTACTGGGGCTGGGTGGGCACCCTCTCCCTGGCTGGACTCTCTGAGAAGAGAGAGGGGGTGGAGGGTGGGAGCTGATGGGGATAGTGCCAGCTGTCTGGGGCTAAATCTGGACCTGGACTCTGTTACAACAAAGGCAATAGTCTAGAGGCAGACCAGCCCAGCCTCTATAGTCTGCAGAAGGCATGTGGCACCATATGGAAATCTATTTGAGGTGTTATCTATAGGCTTTATGGCCACTTAAAATACATGGTTAAAAAGCCAGACAGTGGTATCTTAATGGAAGACTATGCTGTGTTTATGTCCATGTCCCATCTCCTTTCTTCGCTTGTCAGCAGCGGAGGCACATAAAAACCCTACATCTCTCTCCTGACTGTTACAGCACTGACTGAGTGCGCTATCTGCTTCTGGACAATGTGATTGTGCTTTTACAGTGATGTAGTGTGTATAGTCCTGTATCCTGTAGGAGGATGGAGCTGGTGTCTATCCTACACAGTTTACATTAATGCAGCTCTCCGGGCCCATAGCCAAAGTAGTGCTTTACCGCTGTGACATGACATGAGCCCTCTGTTCATGGAAGCCTCGTACTGTTTAGACCGACTGAGAGGGCGTCAGTCAGAAGTGGTCAGTGAAGGGTGAGCTAACTGTTGCTTGGCAGGGTATTGTGCCCCCTGCTGTACAGTCGTGGTCAATAGTTTTGAGAATGACACAAATATAAATTTTCACAAAGTCTGCTGCCTCAGTTTTTATGATGGCAATTTGCATATACTCCAGAATGTTATGAAGAGTGATCAGATGAATTGCAATTAATTGCAAAGTCCCTCTTTGCCATGAAAATGAACTTAATCCCAAAAAAAACATTTCCACTGCATTTCAGCCCTGCCACAAAAGGACCAGCTGACATCATGTCAGTGATTCTCTCGTTAACACAGGTGAGAGTGTTGACGAGGACAAGGCTGGAGATCACTCTGTCATGCTGATTGAGTTAGAATAACAGACTGGAAGCTTTAAAAGGACGGTGGTGCTTGAAATCATTGTTCTTCCTCTGTTAACCATGGTTACTTGCAAGGAAACATGTGCCGTCATCATTGCTTTGCACAAAAAGGGCTTCACAGGCAAGGATATTGCTGCTAGTAAGATTGCACCTAAATCAACCATTTATCGGATCATCAAGAACTTCAAGGAGAGAGGTTCAATTGTTGTGAAGAAGGCTTCAGGGCGCCCAAGAAAGTCCAGCAAGCGCCAGGACCGTCTCATAAAGTTGATTCAGCTGCGGGATCGGGGCACCACCAGTGCAGAGCTTGCTCAGGAATGGCAGCAGGCAGGTGTGAGTGCATCTGCACACACAGTGAGGCGAAGACTTTTGGAGGATAGCCTGGTGTCAAGAAGGCAGCGAGGAAGCCACTTCTCTCCAGGACAGACTGATATTCTGCAAAAGGTACAGGGATTGGACTGCTGAGGACTGGGGTAAAGTCATTTTCTCTGATGAATCCCCTTTCCGATTGTTTGGAGCATCCGGAAAAAAGCTTGTCCGGAGAAGAAAAGGTGAGCGCTACCATCAGTCCTGTGTCATGCCAACAGTAAAGCATCCTGAGACCATTCATGTGTGGGGTTGCTTCACAGTTTTGCCTAAGAACACAGCCATGAATAAAGAATGGTACCAACACATCCTCAGAGAGCAACTTCTCCCAACCATCCAAGAACAGTTTGGTGACGAACAATGCCTTTTCCAGCATGATGGAGCACCTTGCCATAAGGCAAAAGTGATAACTAAGTGGCTCGGGGAACAAAACATCGACATTTTGGGTCCATGGCCAGGAAACTCCCCAGACCTTAATCCCATTGAGAACTTGTGGTCGATCCTCAAGAGGCGGGTGGACAAACAAAACCCCACAAATTCTGACAAACTCCAAGCATTGATAATGAAAGAATGGGCTGCCATCAGTCAGGATGTGGCCCAGAAGTTAATTGACAGCATGCCAGGGCGGATTGCAGAGGTCTTGAAAAAGAAGGGTCAACACTGCAAATATTGACTCTTTGCATAAACTTAATGTAATTGTCAATAAAAAGCCTTTGACACTAATGGAATGCTTGTAATTATACTTCAGTATACCATAGTAACATCTGACAAAAATATCTAAAAACACTGAAGCAGCAAACTTTGTGAAGACCAATACTTGTGTCATTCTCCAAACTTTTGACCACGACTGTATACAAATCCTCACTCTCTGAGACAAAGACGGAGGAGCTGGAGGGCCTGGAGGGGCATGAGGGGTGTGAAAGTGTACATGCTCCCCCTCCCACCACCGAAGGTTCCAGGAAGTTTTCCTGAAATCCTCCGGTGCTCATTCTGTCCTAAATGTCAGCAAGCCTCTGTGTCTTTTCTGTAAACACAGCTGTAGGGATTGATGGATCGGAAGCCTCCCTTTTTTGTCTCTCCCCTGGCCTGGTGTGTCCTGGTCCTATGGTTTGTCATCAGCTTGGGAATGGTGTTTGAGTATGATCGACCTCCAACGCTACTGGGCTTTTGTATGTGTTTATATATGTGCTGCCACTGACATTGACCCTTAGCTAAGGATAAAAAGATGGCCATGGTTTTCAAACTCACAGTCTAAAATGGATGACAATCCTTATTTAAAAGCTGTATAACCTGAAAATAATCCATAATTCCCTCGTAGATGGCCTCAGAGCCAGTGTTTGCAGTGGAGCCCTCAGTGCAGGTGGCCTGCTCTCAGCCCCCGGCTGCTGTACCCAACGGCTCCTCTGCGCCTCGGGCCAAATTCGAAGAGTGCTCCAGAGAACTGACCGCAGAACAGCTGGCCGCCATCGACGATGAAGAGCTCCTGGATAAAATGGTACTTTCCCCTCCCCCATATCACACACACTCTTAGTCCTTAAATCCCCAGACCTAGATTTGTTGGAATCTGGTCTTTTTGTGTATTATTGAGGGGTTATATCTGGTCTGCTGTGAGAGTTTACATTTGGAATGGTCATACCCTTACATTTCGGTCTGTGTGTGTGTGTGTGTGTGTGTGTGTGTGTGTGTGTGTGTGTGTGTGTGTGTGTGTGTGTGTGTGTACTACACTGTGTATGAGTGTGCTGTATGTGTGTATTTGGAGCTATGTAACAGAGTTTGTCTGTAGACCGACCCCTCTCATTCTTCCCCACAGCTGGATGAGTCCAAGGACTTTGAGGAGAGGAAGATGATCCGACAGGCCATGAGAGATCTGCGTAAGAGGAGGAGAGGTGAGAGTGACCACAGCCAGACTAACAAACCTCCTGTCCATTCCCTCTCTCCAACTTCTAGCACCCCTTTCTCAATCTCTCACTCTCCACTTACCTGACCACTCTATCCCTCAACCAAATTTCTTCATTTACTGCTTTTTTTCATTCTTCCTTCCTTATCCATTTCTTTGTTCTTTCTTCATATTTTTTGCCGTCTTTTCTTCATCATTGTCTTCCTTTTATCATTATTTTAACTGCTGGGTCTCTCTGCTGGTAGATGACCTTCATCAAATCTAGTCTGCATTATGTACCTGCCTCATCTCTCGTCATTTCCATCCACTTATTTTCACATTCTCGCATCCTGCTCTCAGAGGCCGAACTGGGATGTAAGGAGGAAATAGGTAGGAACGTCCTGTGTGTTTGTGTGGACTACAGTGAGGAAAAAAAGTATTTGATCCCCTGCTGATTTTGTACGTTTGCCCACTGACAAAGAAATGATAACATTTTTGACATGCGTTTTTCTGGATTCTTTTGTTGTTATTCTGTCTCTCACTGTTCAAATAAACCTACCATTAAAATTATAGACTGATCATTTCTTTGTCAGTGGGCAAACGTACAAAATCAGCAGGGGATCCAATACTTTTTTCCCTCACTGTATATTAATACAGTATGCATCTGTGTTTGTCATTTGTCAATGTCCGACTTGGTTGTATACCCTCATTGTCAACCATACTGTCCTACCAGTGCTGTTATTGAGCTTGACGCTCATCATTGAGTTTTCTCAGTGATACACATTGATCATGAACTGACCAGCAAAACACGTGAACATGGGGAACCTGTATGGTGGACGATGAGGGATATGTTAATACGTCTGTTGAAACGCATGAGTCATGATGTTTGTACATGTTTGTGTGACTACCCAGCACTCACCAGGTTGCCATATGTGATATATCAGGGTGACACGGCACATTAGGGTTCACTCACTGCCTCAGGGAAAACACACCTCAGGTTGTTCCACATATGGCTGGCTGGGTGCATAGTGCTGACTGCTCGTTGACACTCCAGAAAGGACTCAGAACTCGGTGTCAGAGAAGGTTCCTTGGGCTCAGTAGCTCACCACCCAGTTTATCCCTGTATTGCCCTTAACCCTAGCCAGTAAATGAGAGACCTGAGGAATATAGTTCAGTGATAATGAGAGCTTTACTGTGGGTCTGGGGCATAGGAAGGTAAATGGACAGGTAAGACTGCTAGAGCGCCGAGGCATCGGGTAGCTGTACTGGTGTTAATGTTTAGTTTAGCTTTATAGCAGAGAGGGGCTGTCAGCTTGCCTCTTCTCCTCCCTCTTTTTCCACTGACCTTCTCCCTCCCTCCGTCCCTCCTGTCCTCCATCTCAGACCAGAGAGAAAAGGAGCGGGAGTGTCGTCTTGCGGAGCTTCGGCAGCAGAGAGAGGAGCATGCTCAGAAGGGTCGTACGGGAGGAGGAGGAGCTGGAGAGGTGGTGATGAGGAAGGTGGAGAAGTCAGCTGATGGCTCCACCCTCAGCCAAGTCACCAAGACAGACCGCTTCGCCCAGTCTGGTAGGCCAATCATACACCATGTCTTAGGCTGACAACATTAACAGTGCATGATCTTCCCAAGTCCGTTGAAATACTTCAAATGTATTTCTATGTTTGTGTGTCTAGGTGATGGCAGCAGGACAGCTCACAGCACCATCATGGAGGCCAGTTATGTGAAGAAAACAGACGGTGAGTCAACACATCTTCCTCCTAATTTAAATCAGCATTTTCTATCATCATCATCATCATCATTTGATTACTATCACTCTTTTCATCCATATATGGTGTTGTGTGATCTCACCACCATCACCTCCCTGTGTTCTCTAGTGGGGACAGTTCAGTCCAAGTCCTACAGCTATTCCTCCTCTACCTCCAGCAGCAGCTCCACCAGGAAAGTGGGCAGGTGAGCGCTGAACCCATAGATGCAATATAATACTGTGTTGTATTGAATTCTGTGGCTGAACCCTCCTCCTCAGCAACCCCTATAGGATTAACTGATATTGTGTTGAACAGTAATTTACCCCTTCTCTCTCTTCCTCCCTCCTCCCTTCTTCCATCCATCAGTGTGTTTGACCGCGAGGACGACTCGGCGTCCCGTGCTGCGGAGCGCCGGCAGGCAGAGAAGCGCAAGGAGCTGATTAGAGCCCAGACTCTGCCCAAGACGTCCGCCGCACAGTCCCGCAAAGCCATGATAGAGAAACTGGACAAGGAGAGCGGAGGGTAAGGATAGAAAGAACTGAGAATAGTAAAGAAGGAGAAAACGTCAATACTAACATAAACCAATCCCCCTTCTTCAGGCCAGGAAATAAAGCAGTTGCCAAGGTGAACACGGTCCAGCGCTCAGCTAGCTGTGTGGTGCCCAATGCCAACTCCATCAAACAGATGCTGCTGGACTGGTGCCGCGCCAAGACCCGCTCATATGAGGTGAGCCAACCCGCCATGGCACCATCCTGAGTGTCCAGTCTACTTAAAGATCTGAGGCATTCACACTTTAGTTCATCCTGCTATGAGGGTTAGGCCTTTTCTATAACCCCTCTACTGCAAGCAAAACATGCCACCATGTATTCTCTGTCAGCAGTGCTGTGGTCTCTCACATACTCTTAGGTCTATTGGGTGACCAATGGCATTGGCTCATGATTTGTGACTGAATCATGTCTCTCCTCTTTTTCTTCTTTCCTCCTCTTTCGCCCTGCAGAATGTGGACATCCAGAACTTCTCGTCCAGTTGGAGTGATGGCATGGCATTCTGTGCCCTGGTGCATAACTTCTTCCCAGAGGCCTTCGACTACTCCTCTCTCACCCCTGCCAACCGCAGACACAACTTTGAGGTGGCCTTCAGCACTGCAGAGTGAGTACACACATACACAAATACATACACTTGTAAACTGTACGTCATGTGTGCACTCATAGATGTACTGAATGTCATGTCTTGGAGTGTGATATTGAATCAGAACTTCAGACCTGGGCTACATGGAAGCTTCACTCTTGGAGTTGCCCCGTGGCCATTTACAGCAAAATGGACAAGGATCTGTGTTCACCATCTTCTAAACATCCTCCGTCCCCAAGACCATCAATCGTCTGACCACCCCAAGGCTCTGTTTTTGGGGAAGTAGATCCACTGTAGCTGTCTAGCCAACTCTTTGCCCACACATTGAACTCAAAATCGGTCAAACATCTTGAGAACCCAAAGACAAACTACTTCCCTCGCCTTTCTCTGCCCAAAACCAACACACTCCTCTTTCTCTGAACAGATTTGATCCCTCTATTGGGTATGTTTGTTTGACCTCTGAAAGATCAACACTGAGCTGCCAGTCTATGGATTCCACAGGCTCAACAGTACAGGACCTCTGGGTTCTCACCACCCTCTCTTAGCCTTGCTACCACCTAACTACCCCTCCACATACAGTAGTAAGACTGTCTGCCTGAGGGAGGAAGAGAATGTGCATCCACAGGATTCAGCCTTTTGGATTCAGCTATTTTACTCAACTCACTATGTGTCAAAGGGCCTACAGTGAGAGGGTTGGGAAGGGCCAGGGCCCACTGCTCAGTTTTATCCCTCCTCTCTCTCTCAGGTCAATCAAGTCAGCTTCTGGATCTACTACTACTACTATGTCCTGTACCTCTAAACCTCCACTCTCCATCCACTCTCTCCTCTCAGAGATGCTCTCCTCAGTAACCGCTGTGTGATGTGACCCTCCGTCCACCAATCCTGATCTAAACCAGGAAACTCCTGAGACTGACCCCTTCCCAACAACCACCAGGTTACTACAGTACAGGAAGAGCACTCGACTGACTGCCTCCCAGACCCCTCTCCTTCCCTCTCTCCTTTAATCTGTCCATCTCCTCCTCCTCCTCTTCCTCACTCCACCTCTGTCATCTCGTTTTCTGATGAGGTCATGTACTGTCAACCTTTTCCCTGTCACCCACCAGTGTCTGCTGAGTTCACCTGTTAAGACCATGATGACGTAACCACCGGATTGTCAAACACGTGTTCCTCCTAGCTACCCCCACAACCCCCTCTTTGTCACTGTGCTGCACTGTCACTCCTTTCCCTGGGCACCAACCTCACCCCCTCCTCCCCCACAACCTGCCAGTGTGCCTCATCTGGAACCCTCTCACACACCCCTCCAACACACACACACCACCCTGTGCACCACCAGTGTGTTTCTCTTCTAGGTTCACCCTGTGGTCCATGTCTTTGTCATTGTAGAATTCTTGTTGTTTTGTCCTTGTCTCTTGTTTTTGTACTGGACAAAACAAAGCCAATGTTCTATTGTTGATGTCCCTATACCCCCATGTCAAAGTCTTTTGTCTCAGTGCACAAAAATAGAAAACAAACAAACAAAACTGCAAAATGGACGTCGCCTGACGCTTCATTTTCCATTTTGTGTCTGCGTGTGTGCGCGCATATGTGTCATGTTGTTCATGAAGCATGTCAACTCATGGATATGCCTGTCAACACAGACCATGTAATGTTATCCTTTCTTTTTCTTTTCTCTCTCTCCCTCTCTCCACACCCTGGGTATTCCTCTTGTTTGGCTACTCACTGCTTTACTATTTCTCTCTTCCTTCTGTCTATCTGTTGACTTATATCTGTACCTTCTCGCTATATATTTCCGGCTCTTTTTCTGTCTCTCTCTCTTCCTCCCTCTTCTCTTTCTCTCCCCTTCCCTCGCCCCCCTCTCTCCCCCTGCTCCCTCCGGGGTGCGGGTGCAGGAAGCTGGCTGACTGTCCCGAGCTGTTGGACGTGGAGGACATGGTGCGGATGCGTGAGCCGGATTGGAAGTGTGTGTACACGTACCTGCAGGAGTTCTACAGGGGCCTGGTGACCAAGGGCCTGGTTAAAACCAAAAACTCCTCCTAAAGTCGCACCCCTAGGACCCCAAATGCACTCATGGTGAGAGAGGGAACAGGCCCACGGAGGAACCTCACGCTGGTGCTGGGGGTTTATGGGGTGGGATTGGTGGGAGATATGTGTGAGATTCTCAATTGGGGAAAAGTCTGTCCTTTACTCGACTCCTCAGTCCTCCTCTCCGCCGTGACCCAGAAACCAATGAGTTTCAATTCTTTAATAGGTGAAGGGAGGAGTTTCCTCATCTCCTAGATTGCCTCCTCCAGCAGAGGGTACCGAAGTGTTTCCTGCGCAGAAGAGTTTTGAAATCTGCCTCACCCTCTTGAATCAGCTGTTTACTCAGAGGAGAAATGCATACATTTAAAAACGATACGCTACTTATGCTTGTATCTATAAAATGTCTAGCCAACTAGCTACATTTCTTTTTACCACTTTACACATGTATTTTGGGATTCCTCTGCTGTAAACTTAATCTGCCTGATGACGAGCTAGTCGAGGAGTCATTTCATACAAGCACATTTGTTTCCATGTTTCTTCTCCTCGACTCCTATCCTCGATTACCTTTGACCTTTTTCAAAAGGAGGAGAGGACAGAGGACAGAACGTGAGGAATTGAGCAAACCCAATTGAGATTCTCTCAGTGTGTGACTGTGGGTGTAGGAGTGCATGTTGTGGAGTGGGGGGGTGAATGGCAGGGTCAACAACAGTTCCACCAGAAATGCCACTGCTTATTCATATTATGATGGTGAAGTCAAAGAGGAGAACCGTGAGCTATCAATGAATACAAAACATGATCATTATCCTGCAGGAAGTCATATGAAGTGGTAGGAAGTGTTGGAGTGTGTGTAGGTCAGAGCGCAGTTTTCTCAGCTTTGTGAGCCTGGTGCTGGGTTCCAGAGGCCCAAACATGGACTGTGAGCATGTGACTGCAGTCAGAGCCAGGCTCCAGGCTCCAGGCTCCAGGCAGGCAGAGGGCCAGCCATCAGCACACCCCATCTGCAGCTCCACACTTTAAAAGGAGCTGCCGCAACACAACACCGGAGCGGAAACCGATTGGAAACAAAGTGGAGAGGAAAAATACATGTCAGAGCTGTGGTGTGTGGAGCATGTGTATCATCTCCCCTCATTTAGTGACTTCAGAATTACAGATGTTTTTGTACTTAATGTGTATAAAGCCATCGCTAAACGACATAAATAGACATCTCTTTAGTATTTAAAACAATAAAGGGAAAACGTCATAAAGTTTTACAGTGTTGACATTTGTCTCTCTTTGAGGGGCTAGGTTACCATCTGCTGTTCTAGGCTAGGTTACCATCTGCTGTTCTAGGCTAGGTTACCATCTGCTGTTCTAGGCTAGGTTACCATCTGCTGTTCTAGGCTAGGTTACCATCTGCTGTTCTAGGCTAGGTTACCATCCTGTTGTGCTCACTCGGTCTCCCACCTTGCAGCTGTTTCCCAGAGCTCTCCTCCTGCTCTCCTGGCTGGGCAGCTCACACTGTTGTAACAGTCAGTCAGCTACAGTACTGTCACTGTTGAGTAGTCTGTCAAGTGTGCCACCCTGTGGTTATATGCATGCATACACATATATTATTTTGTTTACCTAATGGCAGAATATGTTTGGAATGTTCTCTGTAAATACATCTCCTAAATGTATGCCTATAATGCTTTTTTTAAACTAATACTTTGTAGAGTGGCTCCCTCGTATCTGCTTAGATTGGGTAGATAAAAAAGCTGTTATGAGAGCAGTGTTTGTGGAGAGAATATCATATTTTATCCTTACCATCTCTCTGTTCATCTCTTTCTCCATCTCCCCACCGCTCCCTCTCTCCCTTTCTCTGTCTCACCATCTCTCCGTCTCCGTCCTCTAGGGAATGTGCCAACTGTATGCCCCTGCTGGAGGTGGAGGACATGATGATCATGGGGAGGAAGCCTGACTCCAAGTGTGTGTTCACCTATGTGCAGTCACTGGTCAACCACCTGCGCAGGCACGAGATGAAACTCGCCAAACTCCAGGGCACCGACCTCTGATCTGCCCCTCTGCTCACTGTGTATCTTCCCCCATCGCACCACTGTGCCCCTCCTCTCCTCCTGAGCCCTGGCCCCGAACACCACCCCTGACCCAACAGACAGCAGCCCTGACTCTGAGTGAGGGGTGTTACTGATTTGCACATCTCTGATGGCCAACGGGGTGGGGAGTGTGTTTGTGTAGGTGTTGGCATCCGTCTCATGATTAACTTGGTTGACGGTGGTGGCATGTCAGACAGATAAATTCCCCTCCTCTGGACACATACAGTTGAAGTCGGAAGTTTACATACACCTTAGCCAAATACATTTAAACTCAGTTTTTCACAATTCCTGACATTTAATCCTAGTAAAAATGCCCTGTCTTAGGTGAGTTAGGATCACCACTTTATTTTAAGAATGTGAAATGTCAGAATAATAGTAGAGAGAATGATTTATTTCAGCTTTTATTTATTTCATCACATTCCCAGTGGGTCAGAAGTTTACATACACTCAATTAGTATTTGGTAGCGTTGCCTTTAAATTGTTTAACTTGGGTCAAATGTTTCAGGTAGCCTTCCACAAGCTTCCCACAATAAGTTGGGTGAATTTTGGCCCATTCTTCCTGACAGAGCTGGTGTAACTGAGTCAGGTTTGTAGGCCTCCTTACTCACACACGCTTTTTCAGTTCTGCCCACAAACTTTCCTTAGGATTGAGGTCAGGGCTTTGTGATGGCCACTCCAATAACTTGACCATTTTGCCACTACTTTGGAAGTATGCTTGGGGTCATTGTCCATTTGGAAGACCCATTTGCGACCAAGCTTTAACTTCCTGACTGATGTCTTGAGATGTTGCTTCAATATATCCACATAATTTTCCTTCCTCATGATGCCATCTATTTTGTGAAGTGCATCAGTCCTCCTGCAGCAAAGCACCCCCACAGCATGATGCTGCCACCCTCGTGCTTCACGGTTGGGATGGTGTAGCCCTCCTGTAGCTCAGGGTTGTGGGTTCGATTCCCACGGGGAGCCAGTATGAAAAATGTATGCACTCACTAACTGTAAGTCGCTCTGGATAAGAGCGTCTGCTAAATGACTCAAATGTAAAATGTAAATGTGTTCTTCGGCTTGCAAGCCTTCCCCTTTTTCCTCCAAACATAGCAATGGTCATTATGGCCAAACAGTTCTATTTTTGTTTCATCAGACCGGAGGACATTTCTCAAAAAAGTACGATCTTTGTCCCCATGTGCAGTTGCAAACTGTAGTCTGGCTTTTTTATGGCGGTTTTGGAGCAGTGGCTTCTTCCTTGCTGAGCGGCCTTTCAGGTTATGTCGATATAGGACTCGTTTTACTGTGGATATAGATACTTTTGTACCTGTTTCCTCCAGCATCTTCACAAGGTCCTTTGCTGTTGTTCTGGGATTGATTTGCACTTTTCGCACCAAAGTACTTTAATCTCTAGGAGACAGGAGTGTGTGTAAACTTCCGACTTCAACTGTATTTGTTCAGGCTGTGCGAACCTTCCCGTCTTCCAGAAAGAGAATTCCAACGTTTTTAATAGAGAATCTTTTTAAGCTTTAATTGATATTTTATACTGATATTTAGTTGTACAGCCTATCAGTCATAAGGCAATTCTATACATGCTTTGGAAGTCCTAGGGTTGGTGCCTGAAGATATGGCACCAACAAAACCCTACATGAAATGTACATGAGAAGAATAGGAATTTAACTGTATTCCCTCACCGACCTTAATGCCTACATTTTTTTGTTTTCTGTGACAATTGCAAGATGTTGGTGATGATGAAGAAAGAAATATGATATATGAGTCATTGTTAATATTCCTTCAGTCCCCACTCTGGTACTGTTAAAGGTGTTACCAGATCTGCTAAACACATCTACTTGAATTGTTTTAAATAGTCCTTGGTATGGAGGGATGTTAATTATTATTATTATTGTTATTATTTGGTGGGTGCTTCTATTTATCCTATTACACACACGTACAAGTATGTATTAATACGCATGTGTGATTGTTTGTTTTTTTTGCATATCACAACGCTCCCTGAGACATCCTCGGAAAGTGGGTTCACGGCCACCCTGGAGCAATTATGGTTAAATGCTTTGCTCAAAGGCACAGACAGATTTTTCACCTTATCGGCTTGAGGATTTCAACTAGCGACCTTTCGGTTACCAGCCCAACACTCTAACCCAGGGATGGGAAACTCCAGTCCTCGGGCCGGAGTGGTGTCGCACTTTTTCCCCATCCCAAGCAAACACAGCTGATTAAAGTAATTGCATTCTAAACTGAATATCATGATTAGTTGATTATTTGAGTCTGGTGTGTTAGCTGGGGGCAAAAGTGTGGCACCAATCAGGCCCCTAAGGACTGCAGTTGCCCATCCCTACTCTAACCGCTAGGCTACTTGCCGCCCGATGTTATTCAGTAGTTGGCATTATGAAATTGGCGGATCCGTCTAGCAGCCCTAACGTAGCAGGTGTAAAAGAAACACCTGAGCAGGTTTTGCAGAAACCAGAAGCATCTGGTTTTCAGGCTTTGTCTCTTCTCTGCTTTTCCCCTGAAAACTGTATGCTTCCGGTTTCTACTGACCCGCTCAAGGTGATGCAGCCCTATGCTGAGCAAGAACGAGATCTGAATCTACAGACCCACTGAGGTTAAAGCCAGACTAGGTTGTAATAGCCATTTTCTAATACTGAAATGTTGTGATAGTAGTTGTGAAACTATAATTGTGTTTTAATACCACTCATACAGTATTTACATCATTTTGGTCTGTGGAGAAACACCAGTGTTGAAAAGTAGGTTCCAAGTGCTTCTCAGACAGGTAAAATCACACATTGGTGTTTCTAGATTATCACGTCTCTTCCCACCTTTCCTCCTTGTCCCTGCCTCAGTTTGCTACATTGGGGCCTAAAAATACTTGGCATGGGGTTGTCACATTCACACTGCCAGCACTAGCCCACCCAACAAACAAATACAAACACACAGCTCTTTTTTTGTGGGCTCTTTAATTATGCTTGGGTAAAATGTTTGTTGGTGGTCATACTATATGCTTTGAAGTTTTGTTTCATGAGTCCGTCTATGAAAACAACCTATAGCCAGTACAAACTTTATGGTAATGTCAGTATTTGATTGAATATGAAAGGTTTGTTGGAAGCCAACTTCCCTTCTCTACATTCTTGGGCCCAATAAAACTGGCTTTCAGCTCAGTTGATTATATGACAGACAGGTGAACAGGAGAATATTAATGATAAAGGCTGAATATACTTTATTGCCAATGTATATTTTCTGAATTCTAGCAAAATAAAATAAATTCCATTATGTATTACGGTTTCTTTATCAATAATTTTAAGATTTCGGTTGGTTTTAGAATTGGTTTTGATTTAATTCACTGTTTCGTTCTCTGTTAATCTGTAATTGAGACTAGAGAAATCTAATTTTATTTGTCACATGCTTCGTAAACAGGTGTCGACTAACAGTGAAATGATTACTTACGGGTCCATTTCCAACAATGCAGAGTTAAGATCAAATATTCCACAACCAGAAAGTTTCCACAAACCAGTTAATCCTGTACTGTACATACATGCTTGGACACAGTCATAATTCAATGTTTCTGTACACCACAATGTGAAGTAACAATTAAACTAATTTAAGAAACAAAGTATGTGTTCTAATCGAACACAGTTTTTTTTTTTGTGTGTGTTTGCTTGCAATGGGAGTTTGATTTGAAGATGGACAGTCTACAAATGGGACATCATACAAAAATATTGAAAGTTACACTTTTTTTATTGTTTTACAGTTATTTGTCATCCCATCACTTGAATCCCCTTGTGTGCCTAAGCCCTACCCACCAGGACACGTTACATCGGCCCCAAGCCAATCAGGAGATTTTACAGCCAGGGGCGTCATTCAGTTCCACAGCGGACAGGAAGTCATTAGACACACGAGCGAGATGAGCAGAGGAGAGACCCCTTAAGACACTTGACACCTAGTGGTATATCATACGCATCACCTGAAATAAATGGACAAACGGCAGAAAGAAATTATGTGCAATTTTAGTGTGACCTTTGAAAACTTTTCTGATGCTACAGAGAGACCGTTACCCCAAGTGCTGAACCAGGATCTGCTTTTCCCGTGTTCTGATCCCAAACATTTATGTTATGAGCTGCAGAAACAAACTGGTCTTGGACCAGCACTGGAGGAGAGTAACCCTGTCTGTCTAGGTCCACACAGACTGCAGACTCTTTAAAGCTGTGAGGATTACAGGTCAGAGCGCTTGGCCTCTGCGTCAGACTCTGAGGAAGCGTTGTCTGTGGGGGCTGAAGAAGAGGAGGGATTCGCTTTGAAGGGGCTGTCCTTGGCGGGGGAGAAGCGGAACTCCTCTGGGACCTGGTCCTCAGGCTGAGCCTTCTTGTAGAAGCCCAACTTCTCCAGCAGCTCGTTGATCTCAGAGCGGGTCATGTCAGACAGGGCGATCCGCTGAACAGGGCAGATACATTTAGGTGAGATGCCTATCCTCACAAGAGCGCTCTATTCTTCCACAAGCTGTAGCATTGCACAGATGGGTTTGTCATACAATTTCTGTGCAATAGTAGGCCCACCCTTTACATGCATGCATCTCTAGATAAGTAAGCCTGCACCATTTTTTGACCAATCTTTTAACCATTATAGCGCACTAGTGAGAACTTACAGTAAATCATTAACACCAGAGATGTGATAAAGTTACAGTAAAACTTCAGTGTGTTTCAGCAGCTCACTTACGTCCAGCTCTTCGTAGTAGTGGTTGAGGAGGACAAGCTCGGGGTCAGCCCCAGGGATGTGTTTCATTACCAGGTTATGACTGGGATGGCATGAATCAAGGGTTACAAACAAAAAGAGGCAAACGGGGAAATGCAATGCAAACAGAGTGCCCGCACGCAGCTGACAGGTGTCTGACACCCCAGGCCAGGACGACTTCCTTCAGGCACTAGTGCCCTGCCTGCTGCCTGTCATCACACCAGCTAGTGAAGTATGGTGATGTACGGCTTGGACTTTGTGCTCCAGCCTCCATACATGACAGGGAAATGCATGAAGCACTTCAGTTATGAGATCACTTCAAGACAGGCTTACATGCTGGAGTTGTGACTGCTTCAGGACAGAAAGCTATCTGCAGGGTAAAGGTATGGCTTTCTTTAGGGCTATAGAAGTATATATATATATATATATATATATAAGCTTCTGTCTGCAGAAATAGCTTTAATTTACTTGGTCAGATGAGTACAAATGTGTGGTAAGTTTAGCTGCTGTGTAACTTTGTTCTCGTTACTCCATACGGTAGGACTTTACATCAAAAGGGGCAGTTGCTACATTCATTTTTGGACTTATAAATCAATTATATATACACACCCATTGATTCTTGTAAATGAGCTTAGTTCAACTGTCGTACCCCATCAGGAACCAAAATATAAGCTTGTTTTACTCCATTGTTTGTAAACAAACACTGTATAGCCTCAAAACATGGTTAAAACTATCATTTAGATTTCATGGATGATCAATGGTGGGTTAATTTGATTGGTTACAGTTCTCTAGCCCCATCCCTCATCTTTTTACCAAAACAGTGGTGAGGTTACCTCTTATTGTTTCAACTGCGGATTGGCCCTTAACTTACTTAGTTTATAAATCAGTAAGGCTGTTAATTATTTATTCTGAGATGGTTAAATCAGTTAAATGTTGTCAACCAGTGCATGGCTTCCACATCACGGCAGAGGACCTAACTACCCTCACATTGGCTATCACATCTCTGCACATCTGCCATCACCAAAATAAAAGGATACTAAAGAGGAATGTCCTGGGTCACAAAGGCTTTGACCTGAGGGGTTGAAGAGGTTGATGATTAGTGTAACTCTGCAGTCTGCTTTGTTGGGCAGGCAGTGATATTTATGAGCATTTCAGCAATTGCAAAAAAACAATCAATAATACTGTACATATACAGAGAAGACTGTTGATAAAACAATAGGCCTACTTAAGCGCTTACCTCTCTCAGCCTGTTCAGCTGTCATCCACCGCATGACTGAGAAACAGAGATTAAGCAGGATAGTGGTTATAAATCCCCCCAGGACAGGAGCAGGGCAGTGGGTGACTGACTGGGTATGACTCAGACCCAGGTGATCCTCCTGACCCATTAGTAGTGTAGGAGTCAGGACTATCAGCAGATAAAGGGACTTATCGCACCATCTGGACAGGAGTGAAACACTCACTGTCTGAAAAACATGTTGCCTCTTGTTGAGATACCATAGGCCTATACTATATTGTAGGCCATATGTAAGGGTTCCCCACGGGTGGTTTTATTTGGCCCCCCAATTTTTGAGCAAAAAATAAGCCATTTTAATTTTTTTTCATTGTTGGACATAAACAACTAAAAACACCAGGAAATACGCTCCAAGTTATTTTAATTTGGGAAATCTGTTCCCAAGTATTGCCACGCATAACAAAGAGACACCTGATTATGTAAGAAAGGTTTGAAATTATTGTTTAGTCAAATATTATATTGGTTTGGGCTTCTTGCGGTCAATTTGCAGTCGACATATTATTTGTAATTATGTTCCGGCCCCCCGACCATCTGCTCAAAAAATAAATATAGAGCCTCAGCTGAATCTAGTTGATGATCCCTGCCCTATGTAATGATATTTTGTTTAGCCAATGGGAGAGGGATGTGGTTTGCACATCCATGGGTACATAGATAAGTGGCCAAGCTTACAGCTCTGCTCTTAGATTCATTACAACCTGCTGGTAGGTAGGTATCCCACAGGTAAATGCCAACTTGACAATATTTTTCGCTGAAAGATCCTGGCAGGTGTGATGCACCCTGGAGGATAATATGTTCTCTCACAAAGAGGAGAAGAAAGTCTGAAAAAGGCATTGTTAACCCACTGTAATTTGAACCTTAGGTCTCATCTTTCAGCCACGTTGAAGTAATTCACTGGCATTCTATTGTAACACAGAATGATTACAGATAATAGCCTATCATGTAGGCCTATAAATGCCCATGAGAGTCTCAATCCATTAGATAGTATAATGTGCAGTGGAATCACTTAATGTTTATTCCCAAAATGTTTGGTCAAAAGCTAATAACATGGATAGACACCCATCGGCGCAGATGCGAGGAGGTTTTCAACTTTCATTCATTCATTTTCCTCCTCCCAAACACCTACGCATGCGCACATAGGATAACAGTTAGGCTACCCAATATTTACCTCAATACGAATCTAAATGTATTGATCTATACGTTTATCCAATAAAATACCAAAACATGATCCATAATTATATCGACAAATATGTTTATAAAGCCTGCTTCTTATTCATTCTTGTTATCTTAGGCTACTTGTAGTGGCTTTGTTTACGAATCTAATAGAATATTAACGCAATTGCATACTCAAACCTACCTCCACCTTCGCTTTTGCGAGACCATCCAGTTTCAACAGATCTACATCATAGGCCGACACACAGTTAAGGAAGCTGGCGAAAATGAACAACCACATAATTTCCTCTGATTGCTGGACGTTGAGGAGATTCAGGCTTTAGAGCAGACGGTCTTGGTCGTTCGTGTCGCTCACCTATTCTGCAAACCTATCGTTACTTGCAGTTAGGCTATACTTGAATAGCAAGATGTAGCAGGCTAGCAGCGGTGATGCTGCTCTAAGGTGATGTTCAACGATGTCATCTCCGGACCCTATGCCACGTCAAACGCTTTCCTGCTGTCTTTGGAGAGGGCGGAGGAATGAGTGAAAAACGAAACTGCTTCTTAAAGGCGCAATCTGTAATATTTTCTGCTGTTCCATTTTTTTATTAATGATTGGCATTGGGCTGGCAAGGCTAAAATATATACCGATTATTTTTTAAGAATATCAGCTTAGCAATTGTCGAGCAGTTTCCCCATTCCTCATTTTACAAAAAAGGTGGCAGGGTCAGATTGTTGAAATTACTGATTGTACCTTAAAACAGAAGCTCATTGGTAGATAAACAAGGGAGAGCAGGAAAGCAGCCACCTCAGGTTGCACTTCACTGTGGCTACACTGCATGTGCCCTGGGATGAATTAGAAGAATGTGTTTAGCTAAATAGGATCTTGAAATTTTCATTTTAGGTTATTGATTTGATTGATAAAGTAATTGATCTTTTTTTTTATATTAGACTACATTAGGATGATGTTTTAATAACACAGCTACATCAGTAAACATGATCCATCTATAATACTAGTATTAGGGTATTATACAATTATTTCTAATACAATATCACAACATTATTATGGTAATTAACTCAGTGATTGTAGACGATAAAGTAGACACTTTAGCATTCCTCAGAGGAAACAGCTGTGTAGACTAACTGCTTTTTGGTCTACTTTGAGACAGAACTGTTGTATGCACACATGACTGTAAGTTGCTTTGGATAAAAGCGTCTGCTAAATGGCATATTATTATTATAGAACCTTTTTGACAGATTACCTAATTTAGTGTCAGGACCATACAATTAGGAATTAGAATACTTTAACAATTTAATAGGATCTCTATGGTCAGGACACTGTCAAACAATCCTAATTCTAAATAATAAATGGTCTGACACTGGGAAATATGTGCCCTTTTAAATCTGCAGGTACTTGGCTAAATCCTTTATTTGGTCAGCCCTCAGGGAGGCAGTCAGACCCATAAAGAATGTCCAATGGAAAGGGGAGGGGGAGAGTTTAATGAAAAGTGACTTATTTCAGTACCCATGGCAACCAGAGAACGTGAGCGGAGCAGAGCTGGAACAGAGCGAGGAGCGGAATGTGCCGAATTTGACTGGAGTGTCGACCTTCTTGCCCGCTCCAATTTCACTCCAGTAGCGCTCGCTTCACGAGCGTTCCCGCCCCAACATGCATTTGTCGTCTACTTGTGTGCTGCTATAGCCCCTTGTTTTAGCTACTGTCATGGAGTTCGATAAATATTTTCATAAAGAACCTGCTAAAACACACAGGTGCTAAATCAAGGTGACTTACAAAGATAAGGACCAAGAGCAAGAGAGGGAGTGTGGTGATGTAGTGTCAAATCAAATCAAATCCAATTTTATTTGCCACATGCGCCGAATACAACCTTACTTACAAGCCCTAACCTCTTAAGGATCGGACCCTTTTTTTAAATGTTCGCCTAAAATGACATACCCAAATCTAACTGCCTGTAGCTCAGGACCTGAAGCAAGGATATGCATATTCTTGATACCATTTGAAAGGAAACACTTTGAAGTTTGTGGTAATGTGAAATTAATGTAGGAGAATATAACACATTAGATCTGGTAAAAGATAATACAAACAAAAAAAACATGCGTTTTCTATAAAAAAATTGTTCCATCATCTTTGAAATGCAAGAGAAAGGCCATAATATTATATAGGAGTTTAGGCGCAATTTAGATATTGGCCACTAGATGGCAGCAGTGTGCAAAGTTTCAGATTGATCCAGTGAAGCGTTGCAATACTGGACTATTTTGTATCAAGTCTGCCCAAATGTGCCGAATTGGTCAATTGATACATTTTCAAGTACACAACTATAGATAACATACAAAAATTATATGGTAATACAAAATGTAAGTTTACACACTCCCAGGAATGTCATACATGATGGATCATTAGCTTATACACTAACTTTCACACTAGATGGCCAGATGGGGTGGGTGTGGAGCCAGAGACAGCAGGGGTTCAAACTGTAGAACCCAGTTCCTACATTTTAATATAAAAATTGATTTTATCAAACAGACCTATGATACATTTTATCTCTGGGACCCTTAGGATGACAAATCAGAGCAAGATTACTGAATGTAAGTACATTATTTACCTTCAGAGGGGAATGTATCAAACCAGTTGCTGTGATAAGTTTTTTGTTGTTGTGCAGGCTCCTCAAACAATAGCATGTTATTTTTTCACTGTAATAGGTTTTAACCAACAATGCAGTAAAAAAATAAAAATCTTAAGTAAAACATAGATAAGTAAAAAATAAAAAATAATTAAAGAGCAGCAATAAAATAAAATAACAGTAGGGAGGCTATATACAGGGGGTACCCATACAGAGTCAATGTGCGGGGGCACCTGTTAGTCGAGGTAATTGAGGTAATATGTACATGGGGGTAGAGTTAAAGTGACTATGCATAGATAATAAACAGAATAGCAGCAGCGTAAAATAGGGGGTGGGGTGGGGTGGGGTGGGGAGGACAATGCAAATAGATTGTGGAATCTGAAAAGACACGTATCCCAAAAGCATGATGGTGTACTTACTCCATGCACATGCTAAAAGAAAGGAACGAGGTGGGTAGATAACTAAGTGTGTCATTGTAGCAAAGTATTTATAAACTAAAAATCATTGTCTAAATGTCACATAGAAAAATATTAATAACCTAAAGGAGTAACTAGCCCCCAGGGGCCACAATTTTACACTGAATTAATTTGTTAAGTTATTAGTTATTGTTATCAAATGTTATATTCCAATGTTATTGAATGTCATTAGTTATATTCCATTCCAATATTCCAATGAATATTTATTTTATGAATTAAAAACAACTATTGAAAACCTTTTGTTCCTCAATGTCATTTTAAAATCTTGCATTATTCAAATAATATTTACTGCAATCGTATGGAAAAGGAACAACAAAGAAAGAACAAAAAAAATGAATGTGCAGGTGAGGTAAAAAGAGGGGCTTTACATCAAATCTCCTCATAGTGCGGATATTAATGGTGACATGTGCAACACCATTTCCCCCCCATATGTTATTTAAATAATTAAAATAAGACAACTAGACTTAGCTTTTAAGTATTACTTACTAAGCATTTCTAAATAAAACAGATTAAATGGATTTTAACACACTTGTGTGAAACCCTATGCAATAATCTTCTATGGGGTAACTGGCACCCCCGGGGGGGGGGGGGGGGGGTAGTTACCCCCGTACTTTTAAAAAAACGCCTAGTTCATTTGCCTAAGCATGACCTTCATCCACATACCATTTTTTTCCCAAACGATGCTTTTTTGTGTCAGCAATTAGACATTGTTCTTAGGGGGACTAGTTACCTCTTAGTACCCTAGCTTATTTGAAATTATGTTTGCTTCTTACATTCAACTTTTCATGTTAATTCAAATACTTTTCATTCAAATCCATATGGTTTGGTTTCAATACTTAAAAAACAATTGGTAGGTCCAGGTAGTCACAAAAATAGATGGGTGTTGGTTAAATTGTCAAATAAGCTAGGGTGCTAAGAGGTAACTAGTCCCCCTAAGAACAATGTCTAATTGCTGACACAAAAAAGCATCGTTTGGGAAAAAAATGGTATGTGGATGAAGGTCATGCTTAGGTAAATGAACTAGGCGTTTTTTTTAAAGGTGCTCCATGTCTTTTCCTACTGCTCCATTAAATCCGCTCCGCGCACACAGGAAAAAAGACTGCTGCTCCAAATTCGCTCCATTCATTAAAATCACAATTTAACCAACACCCATCTATTTTTGTGACTACCTGGACCTACCAATTGTTTTTTAAGTATTGAAACCAAACCATATGGATTTGAATGAAAAGTATTTGAATTAACATGAAAAGTTGAATGTAAGAAGCAAACATAATTTCAAATAAGCTAGGGTACTAAGAGGTAACTAGTCCCCCTAAGAACAATGTCTAATTGCTGACACAAAAAAGCATCGTTTGGGAAAAAAATTGTATGTGGATGAAGGTCATGCTTAGGCAAATGAACTAGGCGTTTTTTTAAAAGTACGGGGGTAATATAAAAATTGTGATTTTAATGAATGGAGCGAATTTGGAGCAGCAGTCTTTTTTCCTGTGTGCGCGGAGCGGATTTAATGGAGCAGTAGGAAAAGACATGGAGCACCGCACCTAACCGCTAAACTCCGCTCACATGCTCTGATGGCAACATAGGCTTTTGGTTCCAACATGTTAGCATTGTTGCTGAGGTTTTTCCTTTTGCAATGGCAGTATGTGTTTGCCATGCCAGTGTTGGGCTATTCTTAGTTGATCTATGTTGTCATAAGAGGGTGTTATTGTCGCATGCTGTGGTTGGGAGCGAGATTGGTTCACTGAGACTGTGTTTGTTCTAATTTTAGGAACGGTCAACCACAGGAGGTTGGTGGCACCTTAATTGGGGAGGACGGGCTCGTGGTAATGGCTGGAGCGGAATTGGTGGAATGGTTTCAAATACATCAAACACATGGTTTCCATGTGTTTGATGTCATTCCATCTGCTCTGTTCCAGCCATTATTATGAGCCGTCCTCCCCTCAGCAGCCTCCACTGCTGAGGGGAGGACGGCTCATAATATTATATTTTCAGCCCAAGAGCCTTGTTAACTGCAGACACTAATTCAGACATAGAGGTACATTTGGGATGGTACTGAGCAAGACCCATTCCCATCCACAACAATCAGTGGGGGAATTTCACTCACATTTGAAGTTTTACAGAGGTTTTACACTGTCATTCAGGAAGTCATACAGTAGGTCCTATGTGGGGGGACAGGAACCCTGGGA